TTTGCACGTTGACCTCACAGTGCGGAGGTACCAGGTTCAAGTCCAGCTCCGGCCTTCCTGTGTGGAGTTTGCATGTTCTCCCCGGGCTTGCGTGGGTTTTCTTCGGGTACTCCGGTTTCCTCCCACATTCCAAAAAAACTGCATGGCAGGCTGATTGAACACTCAAAAACTGTCCCTAGGTTTGAGTGTGCAAGCGGATGGTTGTTTGTCTCTGTGTGCCCTGCGATTGGCTGGCAACCGGTTCAGGGTGTCCCCCGCCTACTGCCCGAAGACATCTGGGATAGGCTCCAGCACCCCCCGCAACTCTTGTGAGAATAAGCGGATCGGAAAATGAATGAATGGGGAGAACATGCAAACTCCACACAGGAAGGCCGGAGCTGAAATTGAACCCAGTACCTCTGCACTGTGAAGTCGACGTGCTAACCGCTCGACTACTGGGCCGCCCTATTATTAATTTGCATTGTAAAATTGTATACCAAACGGCGAGCCTTTTGCATTCATCAGGGCCCAAAGAGGAGCTCATATTCAAAAAGGTTGGAGGCTTGACAGACAGACAGACAGACAGCCGGAGACATTTTTCTGTTGTTTTACACTTGTTGTGGTTCTAACTGGGTCATTCTCCCTGCTGCCAGCTCAAGTTTGCAGAAGCATTAAAACTATGTTATTTCTCAACCTGGAGAACACATACTTTATGCAAACTGGATACGTAACATGAGCCTGTGTGTATCTGTGTGTGTGTGTGTGTGTGTGTGTGTGTGTGTGTGTGTGTGTGTGTGTGTGTGTGTGTGTGTGTGGAGTGGGGGAGTTGTTCCTTATTTCACTTGAATGTCAAAAAAAAAAATATGTGCTGTCATTCCCCCTCTCTCCTTGTCCGTGACAACGCCGCGTTTGTTTGTGTGCTAGCCGAAGTCATGTCACAAGATGCCTCGCAACCTGTCAAAATAAGAGCGCTCACTCTTTCATCAAATAACAGACAGCAGGGGCACCGGCACTTTCTGCAACATGACATGACGTATTAGAATTCATTATTCCGTAGGTAATCTCCTTCAGCAGGCACAGGGGAGAAAGTGTGTGTGGGGGGGGGGGGGGGGGGGGGGGGGGGGGGGGGGGGGGGGGGGGGGGGGGGGGGGGGGGGGGGGGGATGCTCTCCTGTGAATACAAAACCAACCTGCAGACGCAATTGCTGCTGCTGTAATGGGAAGTTTGAACACAACAGCCTGGTTGATTCACTGGTGAAGACGTTTTGTTTTCACATTTAGTCCTTCCTCCTGGATTCCCAATTATGAGCGAGATGTTTGGTAATTGAACACAAGGCTTCAGGCCTGGTCATCAGTCATTTGTTTTCACCCACACAGAAAACAACCAAATAGTTCTCTCTTTTTTTCCCAGCTTTTTTTTTTCACCCCTTCCCTCTCACAGTGCAGCCAGGCAGGAAATATAGCTTTTCAGTTAACTTCTAATCAAGCTGCATTAACTTTTCACAGCCAGTGCCCTTACTCCATTTGCACAAACCATCATGAAACTAGATGAATTTCACAGCCAGGGTGAGGAACACTGACTCACCCCTGTCCGCCCACACACACACACACACACACACACACACACACACACACACACACACACACACACACACGGTGTGACCAGACTAGCATGATCCGGCAGTCGCAGACGAAACATTTTCGCAACTTCTAAAATAGAACCGTTTTACTTTTACAGGAAAGCGTCGTCGATTGTTGTTTGACATGAGAAATGCTGACACAGAATGCACATAAACAGCGGAACCTCCAAAGTCAAACACAGCCCGTTCCAAGATGCCGACTCAACTCAGAACTAAATTCCCCAATAAGATCAATTGGAAAAAGTGCTCTATTTGTCTTATGAAAAAAAAAAGAACTATGAAAAAAAAGTGCAGTCCGAAAAATATGGTACAGTATATGGAAAATAATCATTGGTTGCCAGATACGAATGTGCTCTCCCAAAGAAACTGTCAGAAGATATGACCGGTGTGCTCAATTATTAATTTGCTCTGAATTATTCATATGGAAATGTCTTCATTATGATTAACGTTGAACTCACATCCTATACAGCCTCATTACCATGAAACTTCTGTCAGCCGCCTGTAGGCACAAAGCGGCTATGTGATGCTACTGCCCTGTTTGCAACTGTGTGTGCGTGTGTTTGTGTGTGTGTGTGTGTGTGTGTGTGTGTGTGTGTGTGTGTGTGTGTGTATGTGTGTGTGTGTGAGAGTGAGGCTGTGCATCTGGGAACACCAGGTGCTCATCCACGCACACATGCCACGCCTACTCTTCGGAAACAAAAGAAAGCCCTGATGACATAATTCTTAGGATACAGTCAGCAGCCACAACATGAACTACAACCAGGGAATCAACGGCACCCACTACACGAATGTTATCAAACATTCAATCAAATGCAAAAATAATTGTGTTTGTATGTTGCAGTGGTCTCACTGTAATGCTTCAAACTGAGAGCTGTTGCTGTTAATTCGAGCCTGATCAAGTGGCCAAATGCTAGATGAAACTGAGCACACTTGGTCGTTGGTAAATTGGAATTACCACCCAAAGATGAGCAAAAATGTACAGTGGAACGACTTTCTAAATTCCGACCGCAACTGGGCCAAAAGAAATGACAAAATATTTCACATCGAAATCACGAGTGAGCTTATCGTTGTTCGGATCCATGTTTTTTCCCTGTGTCACTGGAATGCTTTGCTGTTGGATCCCGGTAGCTGTAAGTGGGATATTTCCGACTTCATGGTCATCTGGAATAAGCAATGTAAGTCAGAAAATTATTAAAAAGCAATGTCAGTAAGAAAATTATGAGCAATGTAAAAAAAAAAAAAAAATCAGGAAATCACAATTGATTACTAAAGTGCGTGACCTATTCTACTGCCCACACTGCTCTTCTCACGAATCTTCTCGAATTTGCGCTACTTAACTCGAGTTCTTTGCGGCAAGTGATGCCACTTGAAATGTCAAGGTAATTTTGACTCGTCAACTCAGAGAACCGCTCCTGAGACTCGTCAGTCAATTAAAGAAGTAGCAGTCGAAAAGAAAAGGTTGAGAAAATAAAATTGATGACTAAATGACCGATTCTCCTGAACACACTGCTCTTTTCACGAATCATCTCAAATTTGCGCTGCTTAAAGTCGAGTTCTTTAAGGCAAGTGATGCCACTTGAAATGTCAAGGTAATTTTGACCCATCAACTTAAAGAACCGCTCCTGAGACTCGTCAGTCAATCAAAGAGGTAACAGATGAAAGGAAAAGTTTGAGAAGATATGATGACAAAAAAACGAAATGAGTCTGTTTTAGTTTTTTTTTTTTTTACCAGATTTTCTGTGAGTTTGCCATGGTTTTAAAAAGTCAACGTTTCAATAACCGCCAATACTGGCTGCCACCGGTAATGTTCTCTTCTTTTCTTTTTTCGAGGTCATGATTGGCTGCTTGCAGTGTTGAGTGAATGAGCGACCATGATGAAGTTAATTTCATATGATATATTTTTTTCTCCTTAGTGTGTAATGTAGGAGGAGCAGGATGGGAGCAACAAATGATACTGTAAACCAAATGGCTTTTTTGCTTTCAGCGGATACTTGTTAGCCCCAATCACAACATGAGTAGTTTTATGAGAGCTTTTTGGGATGGGATAAGACGAAGCAAGTGGCTTATAAAGAAAATGGACCAACTTTTTAAAAATAACAAATGACTATCATATGAAAAAAAAATATATAAAATTGAGCATGTGGGTTTTGTGCTCGACAGTGAAGACATATAATAAACAACGATAAAAGGCACCAGACATTTGTTTTTTGTTTGTTTGTTGTTTTATTGTCCGTTTTCATTTTACTATAGTTAAAAAATGGCAATATAGTGATACTCCTTATTGGTCTTTACACGTTATGTATTGCTTACTCAGTCCTGGTTATTTTAAATTGAGCTAATCGTATGTAAGATCAGATGTATAAAGTACTTTGTTGTTCTTTCATTGACTGTATGGACCTGTGAATTCACAATAAAAAAAGAATTGAAAAAAAAAAGGCACCAGGCTACAACTTGTTCGGTCACTTAGCAACCGACTATACATATGAGCAAGTTTGTGCTGAGTTGCCGCCGTCCCTGATCCCCAACCCGCAGTGGGAGCTTCAAAAAATAAGTGCGGTGTCTAAGTCCCTTTATTGGTATGACAGCTTTTCATTCTTGATTTTTTCTCCTATTCATTACATTTTCAGACTGTCACCCTTCTTTTTCATCCATCCATCCATCCATTTTCTGATCCGCTTTATCCTCACAAGGGTTGCGGGGGGGGGGGGGGGGGGGGGGTGCTGGAGCCCATTCCAGCTGACCAACCATCTGAGCTCACACTCACACCTAGGGACAATTTTAGAGTGTTCATTCAGCCTGCCATGCATGCTTTTGGAATGTGGGAGGAAACCTGAGTACCCAGAGAAAACCCACACAGGCACAGTGAGAACATGCAAACTCCACACAGGAAGACCGGAGGTAGAATCGAACCTGGTACCTCTGCACTGTGAGGCCGACGCGCTAACCACTGAACCACCCCGGGCTGCCCCAACTGTATTTTTCATAACTTTTATTGCGCCCTACTCAGCAGTGAAGAGATTCGGATCACGTCACTTTTGTTGGCAAAATTAACGAGTACATAACCTTAAAGCACCTCGCCGACTCACTCATCTTGAGGATGCAGCATAGTATAATTTTGACATTGAAATGACAAGTGGTGGTGTTGGCGGCTGCGGGGGACAACTTGAATATCACTAACTCCTTGTTGAATTTCATATTCTGGAGGTTTGCATTCCCGCCATTAAAAGCGCATGTGTGTGTGTGTTGCAGATGTTGATAAAGAGAAAGAGGGAAATGTTTGAGATAAGTGTAAAGGGGTTGCGAGGAGTGTATGAGAGGGGCATGGTGAGGGGTACACACACACACACGCACACACACACACACACACGCACACACACGCTCACACAGTGCCCCCCTTTTCCATGAACACTCCCTCTCCCTTCTCCGCCCATTCCTCTCTCGCTCCGCTCTCCACTATTACCTGTTCCAGCGCAACTGGCTACAGCCCTCGAGTTCGTGAGCCACGTCACCCCCGCCCAAAATACACACACACACATACACGCGCGCGCAAACACTAAAACCTCACTTGAACTGCTTTCAACGCTTTCCAGGATCACTAAAAGAACACCAAACGACATTTTCTTCAACAATAACTCGTCGTGGGAACCCAACATCTTTCTTTATTTCCTGCCACTCGAGGACCCCCCTGCGCGAGATTCGCCACCATGCACTTGTTGTCCGCCGACTGCCTGGGCTCCCTTTTCCTTCTCCTCCCCACTTTTTTCGGCCAAGGTAAGTCACATTTTGACATTTTAAGACGTTAAATCGTGTCCTCCCCTGGTTACGAGATGTCTGTCCCGACTTCCGTGTGGTCCCGCTCGCCTCCCGAGGGGACAATGTCCCGCCTGTCGCGCTGCGCAGGTGCTGACGAAAACTTAATTAGCAATCCGTTTTAGCATGTTAAACGTATTTATTTTTTAGCCCTCCATTTATATAATAATAATATATGATATATCGTCTCTAGTGGTTTGTGTATATTATTAACTTGAATTCAAAACCGCTTGAATAAAATTTAGGTTTCTCCTCCACCCACTCATCCGTTCTGTGATTCATCTGGTTTCTGGTTGGCTTTATGGCCGCTGCACGCATCAATTATCCAATACAGGAGGTAATTTATTGGACTTTTTTTCTTTTTTTTAGGGATGAGGATAGACTTAATACACACAGCTCGCACACCATCACTGAGTGGCCTGACAGGCAAAAGAACACTATCAATGACTTGAATAAATCAACATGTACTTCATTTTTTTAATTTATTGTGTATGACCATTGGATGACTTGATAGATAGTACATGACTTGTATTTTGTCAATACCTCCCATCATGTGACGTCTCTCATTTGTGCCTCCGATTGTACTGTATGAGCATGAGTTCATTGTATGATTTCACCTCTGGCACCTTTCAGTTTCAAGTCGTTCCACTCGTATTTAATTGCAGCAGGATGGAGCTTCTTACACATCTTGTCTTGAATTACTGGGATTATGATCCAGAGGCTTTGACGAGGCTGGTTTTGATAATTTTGCCTGAAGGTCAGAAGGCTCCTCTTGCGCAGGTTCACATGGGCTGGGAATTGCAGCACGTGGTTATGGATACAGGGACTGGCTTGACAGCATCAGTTGTTTCTTTCAAAACCAGTTCCTCGCCTGTAGGCCAATAGGTAGCAAGCTTCATATGTTCTCGCCCTCGTGGCTGGCCATTAAAAAGCAAAAGCTGCAGAAACTCAGGGGGTGGACTCACTGTTCTGACCTCAGCTTCAGTCACGTCACACCTGTTTCTCCTAGAAATTAACCCCCATTTTCACCTATCACTCCATTTATTTGAGAGGAAACAAATTATTTTTTTTACACCGCTGTGCCATTACTCCCATCTTCACATGGTCAAGCGCACTGGGTCGAGGTCAGACTTTTATTGCCCCACCTGCTGCTCTGTGTGTGTATTTAGGAGTGATGGTGTAAATATGTGCACACAACAGATGGCCCCCTCAGTCCGGCTTGAGGTTCCTTTAGACATAGGTGTCAACCTCCGGTCCTCGAGGGCCGCCGTCCTGCATGCTTTCCATCCCTCTCTGTTGCAACACAACCGATTGAAATAATCAGCTCATCAGCAAGCTCTTCAGAAGCTAATGTTTGAATCAGGTGTGTTGCAACAAAGAGAGATGGAAAACATGCAGGGTAAGCTGAAGCATAGGTTTGACACCTATGCTTTAGAATGATCAAAGTGATGAGTGTCAGTGGACTGCTAGACCTAATTTTAATAACCGCATCGGTACTTGATAGCGATAAACATAAACGCAACAACTGGCGTTTATTGAGAGTGAACAGATCATGAACTGGGCCCATTTGAGTTTTTGTGAAGTCTTCAGGGCTGTGCTAAATTTTTGTGTGTAAAAATCACGAATCAACAAATGGACAGCATTTGTGGTTTTATTTGTTTCTAGACTTGACTGGCAGGCCATATCAAATCCTGTGGTGGGCGTTATCTGGCACACGGGCCATATGTTGCCCCACCGCTGCTCTCGAGTCTTTGTGTTTAAGGCCCGCATAAAAAGACAAACTCAGCCTTAAATCTCTCCAGGAACAGTCTGGAAAGATGTTTTTTTTGTTCACTCCCTTATTTCCACCCTACCCCCAACACGCTGAACCCACCCTTCCCCTCCCTTACCACAGAACACACAGCCATCCTGCGCTCGGTGTCACAGCTGGTATTACTTGTCAAGCAAGTGGGGCTCTTCCACCACTAATGGACTTTGTGAGTGGGGAGGGGATGGTGGGGATGAACGCCTGGTGGTGATTGTGGGTGCATGCGTCTCACACACCCACCCAGTTTCACCTGAGATGGGTCCACTCTTTCATCCTGTGCCAGGTCTCGTCCAGACTTGCGCGCCAGGATGTCGGAGGCTCCTCTTAATTGAAGGCTTCATAGCAAGGTGGACAAGTTGTCTGCGGCTGTGCTTGCGTGCCACATCTTGTCTTCTCTTCACAAGAAAGCAGATGGCCCCCCTCCTCAAATCTGCCTTCCTCCTCCCTTAAAAGACATGAAAACTATCCCTTTGTGGAAACTTCAGTCCTGACAAATCTGTCTGGTCTTTGAATAAAAAAATGCTGCTTCTGTACTTTACTTTTTGCCATTCCTGCTCTTAAAATAGGCTGTGCATATCAGCCTGCTAGTCTGTCTGCTTGGGTGCCTCAGCCAACAAATAATTGGCTCTGTGACTATATACAGGTGAACCTTAAAAGACAAACAGGTCCCTTTACTGAATAGTTATTCTATTTGAGCCCCACGCAAAAACAAACAAACAAACAAAAATACATCCCAGAGAAATCATGGGAACTGAATTGATATTTTCCAGCGTAAATTGATTAACCACATGACCATAAATAAGCTTTTATTCATCCTGCAATGGGGAAATTACCACATTAGACCAGTACAGTATTCTGATTGGGATTATTACTTTACACGCAAAATGTTTTAAGTCACTTTTTTAGCATTCTTAAACTCAAATATTGAAATAAGTAGACTTCCCTTGGTTCAATGTTGAATTAGGAATGTGTCAAAATGTGTCTTGTTGCAGCCGTACTCTGCTTCTGTGTGTGTCTGTGTGTGCGCGCGCGTGTGTGTGTGTGTGTGTGTGTGTGTGTGTGTGTGTGTGTGTGTGTGTGTGTGTGTGTTTGATTTGGAGCTAAGGAGTGCCACGAGTGGAGTGTCTCTTTTATGGTTCCTGTTTTGTGTGTGCAGTTGTTGGAAGCAAAACGCTCTGTTGCCATCACTCACCGTGAGATGCATGACTCTCAGCTTTCAACCTTTTATTGTTTATTATTTGATTACAACTCTGCCAACAGCAATGAAATGGTATTGGTCGCCGCTGGTCACAGACGGGTTGGAGGAAAATTAGCTTCCTGCAAGCAAACGCTGAACTCATTCTGTCTCAGAGCAGGGAAGGAGAACTATAACTAACGTTGCCTTGAGAGAATGAAAACACAAATTGTTTCCCTGCGAATCATTCAATGTAAAAAGGGAGGTATCTTTTGTCAACCCTCAACAGTTATACAGTCACGATTGTCAGTAAAACGACAAGTGGCTCTTAATTACACCAACCCGGTTTTTAGAGTGTTGCTGCGCCCCCCCCCCCCCCCCCGGCCCCCATTTAATTCCCGTTGCAATAGCCTCATCAGGCGTCTAATTTTGCTTTTCCAGTCAGGTGAAGATATGCTGCTTTACACTGGCACCTGTATAATGCGGTGGAATTTTTGGTTAGTCCATTTAGAATTGAGTTGGAAATCCATGTTGGGGAACGAAGGGTTGCCTCATGCTTCACTACCTGTTTCCCCCAAATGTTTTGCTCAAGACACACATTTGTTATTTTCTTGCAGATCTTGTAAAAATATACAATCCTCACAAAAAGTTCGGCATATGTGGCTTTCAGGTGAAATTTAAGGAAAATGTGAAAAGTTCACACTCCAGTGATATCATATCATGAAAGTAGGACATTTAAGTAGAAGGATGCATTGGCCATTTCCTCATCTCAAACAAATCATTGAAATGAAAGTTAACAGCAATGGTGGGTACACCACCACAAAATTATGTCAACGTCTCAGTAACTCGTCATGTGCTCTTGAGCATCAATTACAGCTTGACAGCGACGTCTCATGCTGTTCACAAGTCAAATTTTTGTCAAAAAGGACTGAAACATTTCATAGTTGGGACATGTGCGTTCCAAAGCTGAGAGAAGCTCACATTAAGTTCACTTGTAAAGTTTTGAATGCATTTTAGGCTCGTCCTGGAATTTCACCCGAAAGCCAAATATCCCTAACTTTTTGTGAGTCGTGTATAACATCAACACAGATTCTTCATAAAATCAAAATAACAACACAACAGACTTTTCCTACAAAGCTTGCATGATGAGCATTAAAATCCCATTTCACTCTTACCCACGACAAACTAACCTATTTCGGGCTTGGGCACCACTGCTATAAACTAGCGAAGCATTGATAATCTGTATCAGTGATGATAATGTACATTCATCTTCAAACTCTGACTTGTAAAAATGCTCCAGTACTATGATACCCAATACTAGCCTGTTATATACTTACTAAACTAGTCTGTCTGCCCTGGGCGTGCGGTTGTCAAATAACATTTCATGAAAAGGAGGTCAAACATATTGGCTTCAAGCTCTTTATTGACACCCCAGGTGAAATATCCAATAAAAATGAACAAACACACAATTGAGAGAATTACCGCGACACATATTGTACTGTATATTTTACCAAACATATACTTTGTCGAACAAACAAGTTGGTCTCCGCTAGCCTAACGCGGACACACAATCCAACATGCGACAGACGGGATAAGGAATAGCGTTGATAAACTTTTAAATGACTATTTAAAGCTTCAACGGTGCACCAAAATATATAGAAGGATGATAAAGTTGTGCCTCTAGATACTATACATTTAATTTATTTTTTTTTCTTGAGGCCGCTTGTAACAGTTCAAAGTTTTTGAATTTTTTTGTTAAATTAAATATATTTTCCTCAAAATGGCATTTTCCAAGCATCCTTATCTGGATCGGCGAGTTCTCAAATGTAAGTACTCGCACTCGGTCTGTAAAGAGTGGTATCCGTACACAAGAATAATTGTCTGTTTAGAATTCCAAAGTTTTAAAAGCTTAAACCCAATTTGAGCTCCATTCTGTATCGTGGCACCAAACGAGTCAGATTACAGCGTGCTTGCTATCTC